CTGAAGATCAGACTCTGGCACAGGATTGGGAACGTTGGAAGCTCTGCCTCCGCGACCCGAAAGGAGAATCGGCGATGGAAGATGAAGTAGATGAAGATGATGATCGTTTTCCCTTCAAGGAGAGGGTGAACAGGTATTCTAGCGTCGGAATTATTTCTGCACTGCAGTTGCTTGTGAATGACAAATGGGAATTGCTTTTCCCGACTTTTGCCGTACTCTCCATGCTTCCGTCATCATCGTCTTTTTCAGCCTGTTCATCGTCATTTATCATATGGAGATCAAATGTGATGAACGTTGGAACTAATATGTTTTGTTCCATTCATGTTTATGCAGATAACAGCTCCTCTGAACACTACCATACATAAAAGAGTTTAGAATATAGACGTTGCTGCTGAAACTACAGATTGTCCAGTAATTTTGAACCCTTCATCTGGCTTTTCCTCACTGTTTTCACCTATCGACGCTTTTTTTTCTTGAGCGTTTTTGTCATTCCATTCGGGATGCCACCTCCTGAGCCATTGCTGACGTCTCCTTAAACTGTACTTAGTCCAATGGATTTAAAGGAGCAAAACTGTGTGCTAGATTTTGATTATTCAGGTTGCGGGCCACCAACGCTGTAATCTACCAGAGAGGGTTTCTGTGCCTTTATCTAAATGTAATAGAGATTCCTTTGCCAATCTCCGGTCACTGTTCCAAATTCGTATATGCACCGCCTTTTCTTCTTGCTTCTGGTCGCTTATCGGACAACGTAAGCAGGAAATTTAGCAGCTGCAATGTATGTACTCAAAGCTACTACTTTTTTGGATTGAACGAAAATATGATTAAACATCGGGAAATATTCCTTATGAGTATATTTAATAACCATTAACCCCAGTATTTCGGATTTGTTAGCAGACAGATAGTTTTTCATGCCGCCAGTAAGAATAATAATCGAATTACTACTCAGTTTCAATATCCCTTCGATAACGGTTCACAAGATCATTCATCCACCGTGCTTGTTATGTGGGTAATTCCGGACGGCAGTTCCCAATATTTGTTTTCAGTTATGCCCTGGTGAATAATAGAGAAGAGTCCTTCACCACCTGTCGGTTCCCACTTTGAACTCAGCTCTGAAAGCTGGCTCTTTCTTATATTCCTGAAGTTGAAAGTTTCGAAGAACCAGTTTACATCAGGAACGGAAGAGCATCTTAAATTTATCATGCTTGATCGTTCGAAATGGAAAATTAACCTTTAAGTACTTCAGTTTGAGTTGTTCAGTTCCTTCATCTCGCATCAAAGCTATCCATTTGAAGAGAATTATATATTTTATTTGCTTTCGTTGCTTATGATGACCTCTGCAATATTTGGACTGAGAAGCGAATATCTTTTTCACTGAAATTTGCTTGCACTTTCTTTCGATCACAGCATGTTAATGATCATATAGCGTTGTGACAAAAGGAGAATAATGACGGCTAAACAGTGCACGATGCTTTAGCTTCGATGCGTAATGAAGGTTAGCCGAACCATTTAACAAAAGATTCGATCTTTTTTCGTGTACGGGTTACATTAGTAGATACGGAGATTAAAACCGGAGGTTCGTCCAATTGGACAGACTAATCGAGCACAAACCTTTTACTCCATAGTGAAGTATGTGTAGTCAAAGTGTGCTTTTCTTAGATCGTTTGATTTGCAGACCTGAAGAAGTCGACGAATTCCCTCATCCCTGAGTATCATGGTGCCGTGTGACAACGACTTTGCTGTACAAAACAGATTTCATTGTGGTCTCAGCGCCAAAGCAGAATATGTATCGCCGTGTTTCACCTTAACATGTGATCTCCCGTTTTAACAGCTCCCTGTTTTCCACCATTTGGAAGTGATCTTGAATTCACAGAGAACTGGGTATACACGATAAGTAATTGTTTAAACGAAGTGAAAAAATGTTAGCCTAAAATTTTTGCAAAAATGAACGAACGAATCCACAAAGTAATTAGACAGCTGCGTGTGGGATGCAATAAACAAAAGAAGCTGATCAAAAGCACAAGTAAACGGTCAGGAAAATATTGTTACGTTTGTTGTATTCTTTAGAACCTCGAACACTCTTAGGAGTCTTTTAACCTATGAGAGATTTGTGTTTATTTACATACTGAAACGGATGGAAACGATGTGATGTCCTGTCATATAGTTTTAGAAACTTATCGGTGTTTGTTCTTATTTAGGTTCAGAAAGATTTACGCAACACAAGCCATGCCAGTTACATGTTTTCACTGAGAACTCTGGCGCAATGGACCCAAGGGCTTCGGCGATACTGCCTGAAATCAGGGTAAATTGTTTGGATTGTCGTTTAATTTAATTGTAGACAATTTTTAGCGACCCCCCAAACGCGATGCTTGAAGTTTTTGCTTACGAGGCGAATCGCCTTTTTCGTGACAGACTTGTCAATGACCATGACAGAAGTGAATTTGATTCAATGCTGCAAGCCTCGCTGAGTAGCTTGTGGGGGGCTAACGCCACCAACGCTCTGTCAGGTGAGACTATGCTACGAAGATTCTTCTGAAATTTTTCTCTTCAGGCGGATATTACGTTACCCTGCACGCCGATGTCGCTGCCTCGTTGGGCAAGCAGACGCCGAAGTTGCATCACGTGTCTATTGAAGAATTTGCCACGGTTGTCGCGAAAACGATGAAAAGATTTTCAAGCGATGTGCGATATACTGATCTGGCCTTAATCGAAGAGTTCCTTAACCTCTGCGCTCAAATAGACCGAGTTATCACCAGATGCAAGGGGTCTCTTCTTCTAGTTGGTCGACCTGGCGTCGGCCGTCGTTCAGCTGCTTCTTTGCTTGCATATGCTCATCAGATGCCTTGTGTGGTGCTACCAGGGTCAAAGGAATCTGGGATCGCTTCGTTCAAGAGTATGATTAAGCAAAGCTTAGTTCAGGCGGGGATAAACGGCGAGCACATGCTGCTGTTGCTGGAGGACTTCCAGATTACGGATCCTGAATACATCGAAATCTTGAACTCCTTGCTGCTCTCCGGTGAAGTTCCAGACCTGTTCAAACTAGAAGAGCTGGAAACCCTCCTAAAACCTCTTCGGGAACGCATGTCCCAAGAGATGTATCAGGAAACTGTTCAGTCCTATTTCACCAAAAGTAGAACTTAAGAAAATCATTGCTTTAATCTTGCTAGCATGTCATTTAGTGGTCAGCAACTATTTGCATATCTGCGTTATTATCGATTCAAGGAGTCACCATTTAAACTTGCAGAATTCGTCAAACTTGATATTATTTAAGGAGTGCACTGTGATCTGGCTCGATCACTGGTCTCAGAAGTCAATGCTACAGGCAAGGGCAAACAGCGTGTCAGAACGTCGAAAACTGTCAATTTTAGGTACCGAAGCATTTATTACGCTCATCTGTATCAGCAGCGACCGAAAATGAGACAGAAACCAATTTCGGCAAGGACGCAGAAGTATTAACATTGAACGAAGATACGGTCAGTCAGATGGTCGCTATCGCCAACAGTGTCAAAAACGATCTTACGGACTGTCCAAAGAAGTTCGTCACTTTTGTGTATCAGTTCATTTGCCTATACAAAAATAAAAGGCGAACAGTTGCCTCAAGATACGAAAGACTAAAGGTACCAGTCTCGATATTCATGCATTTATTTTTTTTCTATTTATATTACGTTCTTTCAAATAAATTTGCAGTTTGTCGAAGAACCATTTGCTTATATTTACGTAATTTATTCTGTTTTCATTCATTCTTGACGAGATTTAGGAATGAATCAAAAACGGGTGAATTCAATAACTATTTTATAAATGAACGATTGAATACCTTCATTAGTGAAGGAACAAACGTATCAATGAATGAATTAACAAACGAACAAGCAGACGATGGCATGAATGAACCAATGAACCAGTGAATGAATAAATCAGTTAATAAATGAATGAGTGAATTAGTGAATAAGCGAGTAGTCGAATGAAGGAATGAGAGAACGAATACATGAAAGCAGGAACGAAAGAGCGAATGAACTATTAGAGGAAGGAAAAAGAAAGATGAGAAGGGCTAAGTGGACGAATGAATATAGGAGTGCATGAACGAATGAAGGGAAAAAATAAATAGACGATTCAGCATATGTTTTGATAAGCGAGAGAATGAATGAAGTAATGAACTTACACACAATTGAACGAATTAATAAAAAAAAGTCAACGAATAGGTATAAGAATGAACTTATTCTGCAATGCTCCCAGCAGAGAGTTGTCACTCATCATTCTACGATGCGGCAACCGAATGAAAATTTCAGCTCGCGTGAATGAACATGTGGTTATCACGATGTGCTAGTTACGGTGTGCGAACATTATAAATGAAAGTGTTAGTGTATCAGGTAAATTACATATAAGTGCCTGTGAAACTTGGTGAGCGCTGACATAACTGACAAGAGCAATTTTCTTAGCCTTTTCTGGTATCAGATAAAGAATAAATGTTATGGCAGCGGCTTCGAGGTAAGAGTTAAATTTGCAAGAAAATGGGGCTGATTTTCGAAATGATTGTATTTCGATTCAAAGTAGTAAAACCTTTCTAAATGAACGGGTGTATCAGCCGGACTTTTTCTCACGCCCAGCAACTGCTAGGACAGTGTGCCAATTTTCTCTTCGTATTTGTTAATTACTTTAAATTTTAGTTGGGTGTAACGAAGCTGAACGAGGCACGCAATGCTGTTGCTGCAATGAATGATGACGCTCAGAAAAAAAGCAAATTGTTAGCGGACAAACAAGCCGAAGCAGATTGTATGCTGCAAGGGATCACGTCCAGCATGTCGGTATGAAAGCGTTTGAGTAATTATTGTGCAGCGTGTCGATGAAACACTGACTTTTCACATGCAACCGTAGGGGTCTGTTTACCTGTAGGTTAAGTCATTGTAAATGGGTCTGTGGAACTGAGATCTTGCAGGTGCAGGAAAATCCTGCATTTAACCTTTTATGGTTTGGTGATTGTTTA